CTCAATATCCATAGTGCCTTCCTCTCGGTGAAGATTTTAGCTACTAGATCAGCCCTATGAAGTATTCTTTAAAACACATCAAACAGTAACAGCAAAACCCCATTGTATGAGTAGACAGGAATCTATGGGACAAGACACAGATTTAGAGTCACATGCGTCTTAAAGTGGTTTTCTGACTGGAGACATGCAGCAGCAGTTTCATTCCCTATCTACTTCCCTTAGGAAAGGTCTCCCGAGCCTCCTGAGCCTTTCCTTTCCTGGAAACTATCTGCTTTCTGAGCTTCCAAAGGCCCACAGCATTGTGGTGACAATGATGACTGAGCAAAAGTCTTCCTAAAATCTGAAAGGATCCTTCCAAGTCAGGCATGCAGGGTCAATATTTAAAAACAAAACAAAACAAAAAAGTAGATGAACCCCTGATCTGAAGATTTAGACTTTGAATTGCCCAGATCAGCCTGAGAAAAAGGGGGAGTCTGACTGGGCATGTGGAGTTCTCATCCAGGGACTACCTGAAAATGATGTTACATGCTGCATTTATTGGAAACGAGCTGGGGCTGACTAGGGAAGAAGGAAGGTGAAAGAGAAGAACAAGAACACGAAGTATAAGGGAAAGCTCTGTGACTGATAAGGTCACATTTACTCCGTGTGTGCTGAGCTGTGCAGCCTGATGAGTTCATAAGCCCTTGCACACCACAGCTTCATCGCAATGAACAGGAGTCGAGCCCAGGCAGGGTAAGCCACAAGGCTCATGCTCTCACACGTGGTCACACTTTCTTCTGGTGACCAGAAGAGAGGAGCTGTGTCCTTACACCCTAACAGAGGTGTAAACAAACGACTTTTCACAAGTCACCTGAATATTATCAGAATAGTGTCTCCTTGGAACAATAAGTATTTTTTAAATTTATACTAATTTTGAAGTGGAAAATGGGAATTCAAAGATGAAAAGTTTCTTTTTATATGTGTTAAAAATTTTCCTCTAAAAACTTAAAAAAAAAAAATCTATTATTTCACTTGAATTTATTTTTCTAGTTCAACCCAATCTCAAAAATGGTCCCAGTGCTTTCAAAACTCTGTTATTCTAGGAATTTAAAAACCATTGCAAATTTTTGTCCAGTTATTTTCCTAAATTCAAGCCATGTTTTGGCCCTATAATCATGGGAAAGGAAATATTCAAGAGGCTTTCTAACCTTCCTGCCTCCTGCCACCGTTTTCTAGGTGATGTTGCTTGTCCCTTCCCAGTGGCATCTCTGCCTTGCCAGAGATCCTCATTAACCATTTTCTAGGACTGGAGTGTGAAGGCCAGAAAGGGAACTTGCTGCTTTTACAAAGAGGGGAGAGCAGCCAGGAGAAGGTATTTAAATTATGTTCTGAGGCAGAACAAAGTTGATTTATGTCAGGGATTATTTTTATCTCTCCAGTCAAGTAGAAGCTATGCAGCAAGGTCTGCATGGGTGCAGACACGCAGCACTGTTTCATACCAGACAGACTCCGATGGCGTTTGAAAATAAAGCAAACCGGGCTGCAGGAGGACCTCTGCCCTGCTGCAGACCTTTGTGCAGCTCTCCGCAGGGAAGTTTCCCACGCCAGCCCCAGGAGGTGGCTCGGAGCTCAGGTAGGGCAAGGTCTGCCCAGCTTGCACCACCCAGGCAGCAGCAGGCAGCCACGCGCTGCTTGCAAGTTGCCAGTGGAGAATTTCCATGGAGGAAGAAGAGTGTCACATCAGGCTCCTGGATTTACCACACCACACCTGGCCTGGTTCAACAGAAAAATGGGGTGGACGTGCCATGTTCTTCATTCTCATACTAATGCTAAACACATCTGAGATCAGAATAGCTCAACTGTGAACGCCTGGGATCTTTCCCCTGCTTTTGAGGTTGGTTCAGACACAGGAAAGAATGCGTTCATCCAAAGCCCACCACCGTCAGCAGGAACCTTCCCATTGATTTAAAGAGTCTACATCAAATCCTAACAGAGTACCTCTGCAGAATAACAAAAGGGGGAAATAAAAACAAAACAAGCAATCAAAGAAACAAACAAAAATCAAATAAACAAAACAGTGAAACTACCTCTGGAAGAGGAAAACCTATTTCCTCAAGATTTTTTTCTTTGAAAAAAGGCAGCGTACTTACAAAGTGCTTAATATATAAATGTGTGAACTACATTGCCTGAAAGGACATGACCTAATATTTTGCATTTAATTGGCAAGGGTAGAGGAGAAAAATCAGTAAAAAAATTGCTAGAATAAAAAAAAAATAGAGGATATTCCCAAGCAGTATACTGAAATAAATAAATTACGTGGATTTTAAAATTCTCTTGCAGTATTTGAAATAGAAACATCGCAACACATTTTCAGTGCTTGAAAGCCAGAACAAGTTCCCAATAAAATAACACAGAGCTACATTTTCCTGTACCATCAGCATACAGGCAGTGATGTGCAAGCTCATAAATAAGAAATTTAAATGCATTTGTATGTTAATAAATGTAATGAGATATATGAAAATTAATCATCTGGTGAATACAGTTCATAAATTACAGAGAGTAAGGAACTAATTGGATTCTCCTCATCTTGTCTGTTGCCTATGAGCTACATATCAAAGGTTCCCTAGAACTGAGAAAAATAATACAGCTGGAAAAGGAAGGATTTCTATCCAGATGCCATCAAGTAGTTTGAACTTTATGATGAGGAGCTTTGTATGTTTTCTCTTTTCAAATTTTGCAAGTAAAAATACCACTTATTTTACAAGACCTCCATCCTTTTGAACAAATACCATTCTGAATCAGTGAGGTATGTTACAAAAAAAGTTAATTATCAAAAGAGTAGCTAAAAGGAGCAGCTCTTACATTAACTATACACTTGAATGTCTTGGAGACTTCAGAGAGCACATGATCACAAGAGCTAAGATGTGATTTTACATTTAATCAACTGTAGAAATGCAACAGATATATGTATTTTCCTAATGAAAATCTCTGAGTTCCTGGCGTCTTGAATCAGAGCAGCAAAGAGCACTAGGACACAAGATGGGATAAAGCAAAAATAAAAAATGAAAAAGGTAACATTTCTATTCATGCTTCCTTTTAGATACATGCTATATACATATTACATTCACAAGATTTATTCCTTTCTTGGCATGGATTTTTTATGGCAACATTACTTGTAAGTAGAACAGAAAGATTATAACATATTTTTTAGGTTTAACAAATACAAATAATGTTCTGCCTACTAAAATTCAAAGATTTCTCTGAGTCCTATGTTATATTTGCTTATCTTTTTCCCCATTATGAGAGGAATCACATATCATTCCTAGGAGATAATGAGATCTAATAAGAGTAGATGAAATTTGCACAGCAGTTTGCAAGAAACAGAACTATTTTTTAATCTCCACTTTACATAAACAAAGCTGATAATAGCAAACCTTCTGGAGAATGAATTATTATCAATTAGCCCTAATGTGGGTAGTGCATACTGTAGGAACATTTCAGTGGTAGACAAATGCAATTTGAGAGAGGTTTGTTCTCTAGCAGTAAAATAACAGGCTGAGGTCACTTTAAACAAACGTTTGAAATGCAGTGTATTATTACTATTTCAATCACTGCCAATTGCCTTTACTTACTCTAATTACTGTTTCATTAGATTTAGAACAAACATGTTTTGCTATATGCTGCAGGACAACATAGCACAAATTAAGGTGATTCAGATTGAGATTTGTCATATTGTAAGCACATTCTGAAGCCAAGTCTCTAAATCTAATATATATAATCCAAATACCGCCACAATTGTACCTGTTTCCTGCAAAAAATAAAGTGAATCTTCTATGAATATTCTAAGTAATAATTTCTTCCTAACACTACTCCTTTCCTAATTTTCCAAAAGGTGTCTTTGTGAACACAATTGTCAGATTTTATTAGAAGTAACTAATTAAGAGCTGTCTACAAGCTTCATGGAAGGGATTCCCTTTTTCACAGAAGGGAGATGCAATAGGCCACCCTGATTTACCCAAATATTGACAATCATAAATACACTGAAATATTAAATGATGTATAAGCAAGTAACTACCTTTCTGAAAGATGACAGATGTTTTAGAATGGAAACATTGAAAGTTTCATCACAAATGAATTCATAATGCACTGGTTTTGAACAAAACCAAAACCCAGCAAACCTCCAGACTTCTTACTTATCTTTTAAGGAAAAGAAATGTGTATGTAGGATAGTTAGCATGAATAGCTATTGTTATCTCCTTGGTCTTGGAAACTGTGAATGTATGAATACAACAGTTCACATACCCCTTCCTTCATACATAGCAGATAGAACAGGTTTCCTGCATTGTCCTCATGAGGCCTTTAAGACTTGAAACTCTGCATTAAGGCAATAACTGTAATCAAACCACATGCTTCAGTCAGTAATTCACAGGACTCAGGAAACAGTTTCCCTGATGCATGATTTCTTTTTATCTATTGGGTTTAATTATGGGCATTTTTCTTTTTCATCTGAAGCATCTGCTCGGCCCTAGCTGTCTGTACCAGATAAAGTCAGAAGTTCAAACGAATACTGACAATAGACCTTTAAAATTAAAAGCAATGTAATTCAGCAATGTATAAATTGTATTCCTCCACTGGAAGCTTTGCAACTGTTAAAGCACAGCTGGCAATTCTTGTTCCAGTACAGAAATAAATCATTCAATCTTCATTTAATGGTTTCTCAAATAATTCTACAAACTTTGCGTAGCCCAAACAGCTTTTCTGATCATTTTCCCTATTAGTGAAAGCTACACAAACAGTACTGAAAAAAAAAAAAAAAAAAAAGAAGTACTACTACGTTAGAGAATTCAGTTTTGGCTAATATATTTGTAGTCCTTGTGCCCCCTTTCATGACTCCACAGCAGGGCCCTAACACCACAATCCTCTGACCCTTGCCTCTGTGCATCCTTCCTACTCTGCTATTTTTGTGTTTACAGCCCTTTTTCTTAAGCACACAGCCTAGGTTGGTCACAGAGTCCACTCACCTCATGATGGACTGCAGCTTCAGGCCACTGCAGACCTCTGAGTGAAGTACAGACACGATCCCATTTGATATGGCTGCTTTACTTTGTGATGTAGGTATGACCACATAGTTCATGGTGACATAGCTGTGTTAGGGCTTGGGCTGCTGCTAGGGAGACAGGAACGTGAGAAAACATGGTAACATGGGTAATGTGACTGTAGTATCTATATGTGCACAAGGTCTTTCACACATTTCCTTACCTCTGTACTGAGATGACATCAGTCATGTACACAGCATTACTTCCCTATTCCTTGAAAAAAAAAAAAAAGAAAAAAAAAAGTTTTTTGACCTTTGGGGTCAAAATTCATACAGAAAACCCAAAGCTTCTTTACTCCACCTTCAAAAAGACTATCAAGATGACATGTATGATTTGGCAAGCAAGAATCCTGCATCTCTTTAGTGTCCATGGCTCTTAAAACACCCTTCATTTAAACTATTTCTGATCCCTTTTCTGTTTATGCCCTTGGTAGAGGTAGTTCAAAGAAAGCACTTTCCTTATCCCCTTCTTTTCTGCAAGTTCTCTGTGTTATCCTCTGAATTCTTGTTCTCAGCATCTCTCACTTCCCTCTCTGCCTGGCAGACAAGGTAACCTTTAGGGACCCTTGTGCTCTTAGAGTCACCACAGGGCAAGGGTTACAATTCGTACAAGAGCTGTCTCCTGCCAGGCTGTCAGCAATATGCTAATGTGGTGGCCTGGCAAGTATTTGAGAACATCACTTCTGGCAAAATAACTGTCCTGAGTAGTATTTGTCATATACACAGCTGCCTATCCCACAGGAAAAAAAAAAAAAAAAAAAAGAAAAAAAAAGAGCCCTGCAAAATTCAAGTCTAATAAATTTTCAAACAAGATGCCCATAGGAACTTAGGACATGAGTACATGTCAGTAGCCATATGCACTGAAATCCTCTTCATACGCATACCCAGTATAATGGTTTCATGCACCATATATCTAATCCGTAGTCTCTGCTTCAGAAGTAAGGACCCGCTATAAATTTCAGAATTAATTCAAACATTAAACAGAATATAGGTCTTTATTACTTTGGTTAACGAGCAGTTAAAGAACATGGCAAATGACCAAATCATCAGCCTGCCATTCAGTTTCAGCTATATGCTGTGCTACCATTTCATTTCAGGTTCTTCAAAGCCCTGCAGCTGAACTACAGCCGGGTATTTAATGCAGAATTATATCTTTTGGGGGAATGTGTTATTTTTAAATGCCTAATAATTATGAATTCATTTGCCATTCTTTTTATAAGCAGGAGATCATAATGAACTCATCTGTTATTCATGTGAATGTCAAATGAGTTCCCACAGGAGTTTTATTCTAATTCACTATTAGTTAGTGGACTCATAAAATAAAACGCTATCCATTTTCCACTCTGAATATCTAACACTTGGTAATTGTTCATCAAAGGGCAAATGCAATATTTTTCTTTGATAACTTTCAGTTCTGATTTAACCAGGTAAAAAAAATGGGTTTAAAGTTAATGTACCTTCAGAAGCAGTTAAAAGTAGATTTGGTACACTGTGAATCTGTCATTTTAGATGCAGCGCGTGAGATCACGAGCTAGTATTTAAAAATGTAGATGTACTGTACTATAAGCATACGCTCTTGAACTATAGGCATTTAACATAAAAAGACAAGCTACATAATAAATCACACTCTACCCCAATATATAACGCCTAATGATAGCTCAATGAAAGGCACACTTTCAGTATTCATGAGATGATCACAACAGTTTTCATGCATCTGTTCTATTGTGGTTAAAAATGCATAGGTGGAATACTTACAGGTTACTGTGGGATTTGAATGTGATGACACTGGGCAGTGGGACTTTGACCTGTGAAAACAAATACAACCTTAGCAATAGAAAAACTGGGAGAAATCAGACTTTGATTATTTTTCAGAGTTAAATAGGTGTTTTTTTAAAGATTTTTTTTTCTAAGCCCCTAATTTAAAGTGAATGTTAGTTGTACAGACCTAGCCCATGAAGTAATACCCCTGAAATGTTTCAGCAACTGTCCCTTAGATCACTTCCTACACCAGACTTCCCCTCATTTTATTGCAGTATGTCACAATGACTCTTCCAATACATAAAAATGCTATATAGAAATGTTAACCAAAATGAGTAAACTATTAGAAAGATGTATTTCAAATGGAATAGTAACAGCTGTAGAAGCCCCGTTTTAACTGAAACACTAGACAAGTATATTTCAACGTTGACATTAAAACTCACAGGCAGATGAGTGCTTTTTTTAAGCTGAATTAACATCAGGATAGGTTGGTAGTGTTAATGACTGTCTCAATCACTTCTGCACGGAAATGGTCATTTCCTCAAATCAAATGCTCAGTGCTTATACAAAAACATGTTACCTCTGTGCAATCTCTGGCAGTCAGTAGGTGATTAGAATATGAAGCATGAAGAAACTGTTGAGAACAGGCACGCAAACCAAGTTTGGTGTGTTCATACGTGAGTATCCACATAGATACCGTTTTCCCTGAGACCAGAGGATAGCTCAAGAGACCTAGGAACAGACAAGTTGTTCATCAATTTACAGTGAGAACCTACAGGTTTAAAAGGCCTGGTGTGGAACTCACTGTTCTGTAACAATAAAATTCTATTGACTTCATTGGAGTAATTTGATTTGTACATATCTGAGAGGAGAACTGACATTTGCAATAGAAAGTACATCAGAAAATGTTACGTTGGAGAATGTGAATGCTGCGGAAAGGAAGCAACAAAATTATGAATAAGGCTGCAGTTCTGTGAGAGACTGGGTGCTACCAATTCTCAGATTAAACTTTATTCAGCAGCTTGAGGCTTACTAGTCTCCTCCAAAGCCTTAAGGATGTAATAAAGAATTAATAGCTGGATGCAGTGCACGTGAGTTGTTTGGCTTTTGCTACTGCACTGAAAAAAAGAACAATCTGCAGGACTGAATACTGGAAAGCAGACAGGGTGAGGGTGAGAGGTGACTCCCGAGGCACCATAAGAACCAGCCCCATGGGGCTCCACTGATCCAATTGCCAATGATGAAAGTGATGACTGCAATGAGAAAGGTTTTGCCGGAGCCTCGCTGGCTTTTTGCCACAAGAGTTAACATCTGCTACTAATTAGTGTTCTGTATGGATATCTAAGCTTTTTTAAGACAATGAATTTAGCGCTTTCTAGCAGTTAGAGGTTTATAGCACCAAAGTACCATTGCCTTTATGACAAACACTGGCATTTGTCAGTTTGAACCCAGTGTACTGGGAACATTTTTTTCTTTGCACAGAAAAAAATAAATGCACCAGCATGACAAAAATGGTGATTTTATAAAACCAGTCACAGAAAGGAGGATTGACGTGACATTCAGGTTGACATGTACAGATCAGAAGCACTGGAAGACAGGAGGTTAAGAAATTTAGGCATTGAATATAAAGGCTGCTAATACATCTAGAGAAACAGGAAAAAATGACATTCAATAATCAGTATGTTACAATAATACTGTAGAAGGAAACACTTATGACTGACATGCATATTTTTTTTTAATGCAATAGTCTAGTGCAGCTAACGAACGTTCTCTTAAAACAATAGCTTAAAGATTTTGTGAGGCATGACTAGAATTGTCTGATATAAAGTGACTAGTGAAGCCCCACCTGGAACAGTGGAAGCAGCTCTTGACCATCTTAAGATCAACGAGTTCCTTTATAGAAGTGAGAATAGTAAAGGGCAAGCAGAAAGATTCACTGATTTTTGGTATTCACAAAGATTAAAGAAAAAAGTTCTTTAGTCTTTGGAGAACAGCATATCTCCCTTCTCCGAAAGGCACAGAGAGCTGGCAGCTTCAATGCTATCTCAGCAGTGTAGAATACCAGAGCAAGGGAGCATGAACCTAAGCAAAGAACTTGCCATTAGAGGAATGTAGGTGAAATTCCTTCACACCAAAAGCTAGATAATACATGCAAAAAGATAGCAAAAGCAGCTGTCAGAGTAAATTAAAACACTTCACAAGAAAATTAAATAACATCTGAAAAGGAAGCTCAAGTAGTCTTAAAAGGGAAACCAAAATTAATGCTTGTTAGCTTCCTTACACGGGAGCATTTTCTGTCATCCGAATCAACTGACACTGCTAACAAATAATTAATGTTGCTAACATTCCCCTCTTTTCTGAAATTTCTGCTCCTTGCATTAACTGAGCTTTTATGTACGTTTCATTTTAGTGTTTTTAGATGAGATGTGAAATCAACTACTAACCACCTGGTTAGAGGTCTAGTACAACTCTTAGAAATGAACAGAAATGTAACTGTGATGTTCTGATCAGATATAATTCTCAGCAATTACATTCTATCCTCCTAAATTATTCAATTGGAAATGAATGATAACTTTCTATCCTTATACACCTCAGCTGCCGTGCCTGATTCGATTGTGGTGAGGTTTCAATAGGGTGGCTGTATGACTGCATTGGGTAAACAGATACCCACGGATTGTTCTAAATTTACTGATTTTAAACTTTTACAACAAGCACTTTGCACTCTTCATAAAAGAGAAATGCTGTTAATCCATATGCTTGCTGTACAGCAGTGGAAAACATTTTGTGAAGGAGACTAACTACAAACAGCCATGTCAAAAAATATGTCCTAAGGCTTATTATTAATGTATCAGCTAGCATAAATCACTGAAGCTCCACTGACCTCAACAGAACCATGGTGAATTTCCAGTGAGAATACTGCTATGTAAGCTACATATTCTTTTATCACTGTACAATGGAAAAATACATTCGAAGAGGATAGGACATTGCATTGGCATAGTATTGGAGGAAGAACTGCAGCTTCACAAAATTAAGTGAAACGAATTCCATGGAAAAGCTGCTCCTAGTCTCACCTTATTACAAGTGCTTTGATATTTAGGTTTTTAATTAAATGACTTTCTTGACTCCCTTGACACTTTTAACATTTAACATTTCTGTCTCTAGTTAGAGGACTGCCCAATCCTACATATATAGAGAAATTACACTTGGACATCTTTTTTTTGCAAGTCTATGCCCAGTTTTGTAGTGCAAGCTCCATGCACAGATGGTTTAACGGGACCAAACCCTAAATTTGCATAAGAGTGCAAAATGCCTGTAAAACAATGTTAAATTTAAAATAACACAGACTAGATTCACAGGGTGGTGATATTGTAACATAGCTCAAAATATGAAACAGGGCCAGGATTCCAGTAACACAACATGTGAGGACCTTTTGTCTGCTGGCTGGTATCACATCCTGAAATGAATTTTTGTACAAGATTTTTTAGGAGAGACTTCAATAGGGGCTTAATATATGGAACAATAGCAGGATATGGCCTCTAACTGGTAAGAACAATTACTGTTCTCAGGCATGTGCAAGTTAACCTTATTGGATTTTGTGCACACTTTCTGGCCTAGATTCAGAGCTGCGTCTAATTTCTCATGGGCACAGCTGAGGCAGTGAGCCTACCGCAGAACAGTGACTGTTCTGTCTGCACAGAATATACCAAGGAAAACTCATATGAGCCTCCAGAGTGTGATAGACCAGTTTGGGAATAATGTGAGAAAGCCAACCAGGCAAAACCACTTTCTTCCTAGCTACACTCATAATGCCTCGGAGGCTGCAGTGCAAGGGGAGAGTTGTCTAGACTGTCTCCACAATGGGTGGGAACTCCCCAGACCAAAGGAATTCTCAGAATGTAAATCTTCCAGTTTTATGGCAGACCCATCCAAAAAAAGATCATTATGATGGGAAGCTACAAAGATAGAATTTAACCTCTGAATTTTGGGGAATGTAAGTACAGACTCTTCTCTAGAATAATATCCTCCACAATAAAACTAACAACTTCACAGAGATTCTGACCATGTACGTCGCGCACTTTTTGGGAGTTCATTTTTACAGAATAAACTGTGGTATAATGTTTCCCTTAGTTCTAAGAAAGTGGAAAATGATGTATTTGGAAAAGAGGGCTTTCTTTCCATTTCCCTTTCTTTCATTCCCTAGCTCTGACTTTTCTACAATCTTAAGTATAAACTACTTTTCTTCACTTTCAAGGCTGTTCATCTACCTTCTCTCATTCATATCTTTCCTTCACTGGCCTTCATCACCTATTATTTAAAACTCAAAAGCCTCTAATTTCTGACAGTTTCCCCATAAATACGTGCAATGTCACATTGGGCTGCATTTTCTCATTTTTCCACAGCACTGTTTAAGCTGCTCAAGGCTATTAATTCTCAGTTTTGTACAGTCCCCCCAGAATAGACCCACACAGATTTTCAGGCAGCCCTCTGATATAGCGGACTGGAGAACTGATTTGGCTGAAAAATAATCAAGGGAAAAGAATAATTGTTTTTCAGTTTCGTCTTCTGCCTCACATCTGCCCAAACAGCTGCATGGACACAGCAGAATGGGTGGGACAGGAAAAAGAACAATCAGCTGAGGTAGAGCTGCTTAAACCAACATTACTACTACTGCAGAAATGCACACAGAACCACAGCCTAAACGTGCTATTTTAAGTACCCTTTTAAATCTCTCACCTGTCACAGTGCCTATTAAAAGAATGGATACTAATAAGGCAAGGATTATATCAGTCCTGCTTACAGTGCAGCCCAGTTTTGGCTCATTGTTTCCTTGTTCTCGTTGCTCTTGACTAGTAATTAGGTTGTAAGATACTCACAACACAGCTTGTCTTTTGGCCTGCTTGAGAGCTACCTGACTCCCACTACAGTCAGTGCAAATTTGACCTTGGATTCAGAAGGATCATGCCCAGTAAAACACCATTTCCCCTAGATACCAGCCAATCTGTTTGGATTTTTGTTTGTTTGTTTGTTTAAGAAGGGCAATCCTTCAGAGCAGGTTTGGATCACTGTGAAATGCCTTTCTACAAGTAGTATTATTTTTCTTATCACCGTGTCTGTAACAGCACTTGACAAGAATTTTAATTGAAAACTAATTTAAATCTCTCACTTGTAACACGCAACAATTTTAAAATCACTGGGACTTTAGAACATAAAGTGAGCAAGAGTGCTACACAGCTGGAGTCTGAAAGAAGAGCTACATCACACCGAAATTAAACTGATTTAATTGCACTACCATCCTAGACTCCACTCAGACTGTTAGGATTTTTTTATGCTGAATTCACTTAGTGAATTTGACTGCATACTGAGGCACAGCACAGTCATCAACCAACAGGAGAAAATCTGCTAAAGTTGGCAAAATATAGAAACGCTCTATAAATGAAGAAACTGAACACATTCAGGGTTCCTTATAATAGGAAATGTAAAGGAACTCAAGCTTTACCTGAAGCTAAGGGGCCAATGAAACAGATGTTGCAGTTAACCAAAGCCATCTCATTCAAAGAATAAACTCTTATTCAAATATAAATGGAAATTTTCCACTGAGTTACAAAAATTGTTTTGTTAATCTACAGTTCTTTCCACTTAAAGATAATGACCAAAATATCAGACGATACAGTTGTGTCTTCCTGATTCCACCTGAGCAGTAGTTACCGCAGTTGTGTTCATATATTTGCTATTGTCTCAACAAAAGAGAAATTTGGTACGTATTACACTATACTGAGGAAAAAAATAGCACAACTGCTGGTAAGTTTGCAGGCAAATTCAGAGAAGAGCATCTGCAGAAGTGGAGGAAGGAAGGTGTTTTTAATGAATGAGTACCGTATTTAATTTAGCCATTCATTCAGGGAGCACTGCAATACGATATTTAATCATGATCACTGTGCACTATCAGTACTGCTGATACTGCATGAGGATATCAGTCCTAGCTCTGAGACTTACCCGGAACCTCACAATTGCCTGTCCCAGTGGAGTGACTGATTTGTATTTCTACCCATATCATCAGCTTTTCTTTTTTCTTATATTTTTTTGTGCATGTTAGTGCTAAAGACTACAGAGCAGTGAAAAACTTAGAAAAAGCCGGAATTCAATACCTGAAGAAACTCTTTTCTCAAAAGCAACAGAAGGTGTCACTGCTAACTGATTTTAAACAAATGAATCCCTCAAGTGGAAGACACTGCCTTTGTTTTTAGTGAAAGTTGTTTCAGAGAGGGAAACTGGGTTCCATTCTCAAGTATTTACCTGCTCCAAACACAAACATTAAAATTTAAAATACGAAAGACTGCCTTACACCATCAAATTCTTCTCTTTTCTGTTTGCTATTATTCCCTGCAGCTGTTTCACCTCAGGCTATGATTCAAACAGAGAAGTTTTGGCCAGTATTTGGACAGAAGCCCTTGAAGGGCTTTTTAACCAAGCAGTATTAGAGCTCCAGTAACCATTGATTTCCTCCTCAAATCCATAATAACTAAATATCCAGACAGTATTAAGACCATTAGGATGCTGAAGAAACCCTTTCCAATCCGAATCTCTGTAGTTTGCGCCTGCAAAACCTTTCTGTAGACCGCGTTTGCAACTAGATAATGACTTTGTGTCTCTCTAAATTTGCAATATTCAGAGAGAGTTTTAGCTGTACGAGGCAGCCCTCGCTCCCTTGCCTACCTTGATATGGCCGTGCTGCTGTTCTGTGGTACCCAGCTGCTATATCCCATGCCAGAGCTAGCTCCGTGACACCAATGGTGTTCTTTTCAAAAATGTATATATAGGTTGTTAAGTACTTTACGGCCACTGTGAAGTCTCTCAATAAATTCAGACATGTGAGGCTAAAATAAACCCCCCCCAGCAGCCTGCCCAGCTTAACTGGGGCTGCCTCACACCCTGCGGAGCTCCGGCCTTTCCCTCGGGCCTTCCCCTCCCTCGAGGCACGCCACGAGGCAGCCCGAGCTGCAGACTCCGGGGCCAAGGAGCCGCCGCTTAGGGGGGTGCGAGGCAATCGCCCAAGCTGCGATGCAAAAACACGCTGTGTGTCTATATAAAATCTAATTTCAGCCATCAGAGGGCTGTGCATCCGATAGGTGCATCCCGGCACTCTCCGCAGGGCTCCCCGTCTGCCCGCCCCAGCACGCCCCCTCCCTTCTGCTGCCCAGCCGAAGGCAGCTCAGCTCACTTGAATTATTGAGCAGGGCGCTTGGAGCCGGCTCGGGGGCTGTGCGGGGGCATTTTCACCTCATTCTGCCAGCACCGGGGCGGAGCCGCTCCGCTGCCCTGACAGAAGGGGGGGGGGGGGGGGGGGAAGGCGGCTCGGCCCGAGGAGGGGAGGGGGGAAGGCGGCCGGCCGGCTGGCTCGCTCTAACGCCGCTCTCTCTGTCTCTCTGTCTCTCCCTCCTCCTCCTCCTCCTCCTCCTCCCCGCTGCAGGCGGAGCGGGCCCGGCAGGAGGCGGAGCGGGCCGCCGCACGTCCCCCGGCCGCTCGGCCGGCCCCCCCGCCATGGGTCGGAAGCGCTGCGTGGGGGGAGACGGCTCCAAGATGGCGGCGGGCTGCTGCGGGGTGAAGAAGCAGAAACTCTCCAGCTCCCCTCCGTCGGGCGCCGCCGGGCCGGGGAGCGGCGGCGGCGGCTCCCACTGCGGCGGGGCGGCGGCGGCGGCGGCGGGCGGCGAGCCGGGGGCGCTGCCCCCGCCGGGGGGTCCCCGCCTCAACGGCCTCGGGGGGCTGGCGGGGGGCGCCGCCGGCTGCGCCCTGGCCCCGCCGCTGCCGCCCAGCTGCGGCGGGGGCGCCGCCGGCCTCTCCCCGCCGGCCGCCGCCGCCTCGCTGCTCTCCTCCCCCGGCGCCGGCTCCGGCGGGCCCGGCTGCAGGAAGATGGTGGTGTCGGCCGAGATGTGCTGCTTCTGCTTCGACGTGCTCTACTGTCACCTCTACGGCTACCAGCCCCCGCGGAGCCCCCGCTTCACCAACGACCCCTAGTGAGTATCGCCCGGCCCCGCGCCGCTCCCGGCCCCCGCCTGGCCTCGCCTGGCCCCGCTCGGCCCGCGGGCGCCCCCGCCGGGCTCCGTCCTTGCCCCCGCCGGTGCCCCCAGGGCTGCCCCGGCCCCAAATGCCCGGCTCCGGCTCCGTGCCCTGCCCGGCTCCCCGCTGGGCTCCGCTCCGCGGGGAGGCTCGCGGCTCCGCGAGAGGGCTGCCGGCGGCTGTGGGGCTGCTTGGGGTCAGCCCGCGCCGAGCCCCTGGTTCGCGGTGTGCCCTGCGGAGGGGCCCGTGGGCGATGCGCTGAAGCCCCGGGGCCGTCTCCCGCACCGAAGCTCCAAAGTTTTGCAGCGATCGCGCCGAGCACCTGTTACTGCCGCCCTCCTCTGCCTCCCAGGCGCGTGCGAGCTGCCGCCGAGGGCCTGCTGTGTGCCGGTCCCCAGCTGCTCTCGTCTGGGGTTCGTGCAGAACCTCACAGCCTCCTGCCTCTGTAGGGCCCCCAGGAGCACCTCCCGGTGCCGGGGGACGGACGGAGAGACGGACGGACAGACAGACAGACGTGCTGCTGCAGGTGCAGCTCAGACACTTCAGGGAGAAACTTCTGCCTGGCAGGAAGTTGCTTCCTCCCGGCTGGGATGAGTTACCCCGCTCCGAGGCTGTGTGAGTGCAAAGCCGACCTTAGGGGTGCTGTGAAACCGCTTCCACCCCTTCACTGTGCTTTAAAACGGGATGGAGCTCGTGGGGTGAGCTCCAGCTGAGGCTCGGCAGAGTTGATCCACACCAGTGCATGCCACTGCTTCATCTGCGTTGCAGCGTGGCTCTCAGCGTCTCGATAGCACCCGTTCTGTGTGGGTACTTAATGGAAACATTTTCTGTGTGTCCTCTGCCCACACGCACCCTCGCTGGTGCAAAGGGTTATCGTGTGTGCCATGTTTCATTAATGAGATGTAGTGCATACTTCCCGGTGTTTAAAATACTGTCATGTGTTAATGATCTTGTTTGGAGTCCTTGCTGTTCTACCATCCAGGATCTATACGTCTCTTGCATACTGTCAGCTGCTGTCATGACAACCCGGCTCAGAGGATTCCTACTTAACCTGCCACCCCAGCAAGTCCTCCCCATATTCTCTTCGTACCTCCCATGTGATTACACCAGAGCACCAGTAATGAGAGGAGGGCAGAGAGACTCCACTGTGAGTTTCTTTACCCAGGTCTTTTGTAAATCCATGTCCTGTCTTGAAGAAACCAATTTTTTAGGCTACTGCTGCGCTAAGCAGCCTTTTTGCTCTGCACTGTCCTGTATCTGTTCTCCACCCCAGACCGCTGTTGGTTACTGCATCACCTTTGTGCCAGTTCACTCCTTGCTAGTGCAAGAGAGTGAGTTGAATTCTGTCCATGTTTCTCTGTGACAACGTTACCTTGCTGCTGTGGTGTGTTGTTTTTTTTTTAACCATGGTGTTTTGCTGAAGATTCTCCTGTTACTGTCCCTGTTTTATTAATGGAGGAAACTGAGGCAGAGGTGAAGAGTTAACCACAGAAATGTTTTCCTGCAAGCACTTGGATTCCTCTTGGTAGCTAACAGATCACTTCACCTTTCTTCTCCCACTTCTTACTTTAAAAAGGACATAATAACAAGTTAAGGAAAACTTGTATTTTTCTGAAATTCATGTGTGTGCATATGCATTCTTGAGATTTCGTTTCCTGACCTGGTTTAAAAAGTTGCTGTGTCAATGGACTTATGAAAATGGCACTGCCGTTAGCATTACTGATACCGTTTGTGCATGTTCCCATGCTCGTGCCAGCATGCACAGTTGTACTGTGTATCAGACTGGAAGAATGATCTAATTATCATTTTATTTTTTTCCCCAGTTGGTTTTCAGAGATTGGTTCCCTCTGGATCGTTGTGTGGCTTCACAAACACTTGTGCCCGCACAAGTGTGAGGTGGGAATAAGCAGACAGATGGCAGAACTGCTGCTTTCAGCAGCCTTGTGAGCTGATTATGTTTGTGCAGTTGGGGAAGCAACTTTGAAAAAGTTGCTCAGTATTACATGTAAAATTCTAGGTCAGTGAATAATTTGCTCCTGCCAAATGTTCAGAGGCAGTGTGACTTGTAGCAGTCAAAAGATTTGCGCACAGTCTTATCAATAGCCAGGTAGCTCACAAAGGTGTGATGTTGTCTTTGAAGCTGAGCTTCTTCCCGCATGGCAAAAAAGCTGAATGGGAACCGGCATTTTTCAGTGAATGTATGTCGCAGCTTTCTGCCAGGAATCCTTCTGGAAGTTTTGTCTGTAGACCACAATAACTGGTCTAAGAGTAGTAGCCTACAATAAAAGTCAGCAATTGAACAGAAATGCTGTTTTGAGCTCTGTTAATTACAGGGAGGATGAAAGACGTGTGAGCAGGTATCCTCACACAAGCGTGACTCATTTCTTGCAGGTCTTTGAACAATGAAACTGGGCAAGATCAAAGAAAAGCAGGTGACTGAATCACTTGGGCTGGGGGTTCTGATGTATTGTCTTCTGAACAAAAACTGTGTGCTGTGCCTCTGGATTTTTGTAACTTTTGGCTGCTGAGCTGAGGACCACAGCACGGACTGAAGGGCAGGGATTTTGGAGCAGTTAGTAGGAATGAGACAAAATGCCAGTTTTTGAAAGGGCGCAGATTTTGGACTTCAGCACACCCCAGACATGGATTAAATAACTGTCATTTTCCTGTCTCTGAGTGTAATTCCTAAAGCACAGGATATGGCGTGCTGGTGGAAGGTATTGCTAGGGAGCTGTTGGGCTGGAGGCAGTAAGTCATGGGGTCAAAAGAAGAGAGTGGGAAGACGCTGAATCTGTCCAGTGGTGCCTTGGTGAAAACAGACTTGGCAAATCCTCCTTCTCTTGCAGTCTTCCACTGATCTTTCACCATTTTCCTCTATCTCTGTTGTAATTGAACAGCTTTCTTTGACCTACAATGTCACCTCACATTGAGTTGCCCTCTAAAACAGTCCCTCCCTCCTTCTCAGGACATGCTCTGCAAGGCATGTCCTTTCCTCTTGCTTCTACCAGTGCAGTGGCTCTCAACCTACAGGAGTGGACGGCAGGTAACAATGGTCCTGGAGGTATGGAAGATGATACAGAGTTTGAAAACCGTTGCCCCGGACAAAACTTTTCGCTTATACAAAATGTCAATCAGCCATTGTTTGTTCTTGAAACTCAGCTTGGTGTGTAGAGTTGTGGAACACTGCAATTATTTAAAGGTGTTTTTTCGCTATAGGGGTTTAGAAGTGTCAATCAAAATACATTGTGAGGGGATGCAGAAACTGTCAAAACACTTTACCCTGTGCATTTAGGGAGAAGGAAAACTGAATAGTCTTTTTTTTCTCACGTTTCATATCTTTCTAACAAATAACTCTCCTGTCTTTAATTCCTTTTTGGTTTTGTGCAACGCACACTATTCCTCCGTGATCAGTGCAAACAGTACCACTTCCTGCCTTCTGTTGTGGAAAAGGGCAGCACACCAGTGGGGAAGGACTCAGGATTTATGCTGCTCGCTACAGTTCTTCTAGTAGGAAGGTGCTCGAGTGGAAACCTAAACTGAAGTGTGTGCAAGGTTGGTGTGACAGGGTGGGAAGGGTAGGTGCACAAAGAGGAGTTTAGCTGAAGCTGTGCGGTGGGGCATTAGGTTCTTTTTTCCCTTAAATATTCTGAAATCTCTGCTTGCTGCATAGATTTCCTTTAACACACAGAAATTACCCTGCTGAGTTCCTGATTCAGCACAGTATTTGCCTCATCTTCGCAGCTCTTCAGCTTGCCTATTTCCCATTAATGCCGGCTTCTTTCTAGGGAAAATGTGTGTCAGTCCACCAGGTTAACTGTTGTGCCAGATGTTTGTGTCTTGCAGTCCCTTCCCGAAAGTCTCCTGGGAACAGCCTGCTAGTTAATGGGATTATTTTGGTGCTGAGCACCCTTATTTGGCACAATTTGTTCTGCCCGTGTTGGCTGGTACATGATAACCAAAAGCAAGGTTTTGCACCCAGAATGGCCAGTGCTGCCCGTGCCCTGCCTTCCTGTGCGGCTGAGGAGCCCTTGGGAAGGATGTTTACCACACGTGCCTTGGTGATGGCTTGCTCATATCCTCTTCATCTTGCAGGGGGGACTGTGACACAGGCAGTGAACGGTGTGAGGCTGCCAGCCCCGTGCACGTGCCAAGGCTCCAGCCGCCAGCAGAAGCATTGCTGGCAACCACGTTCTTTGCCACCTGAATAATCTGCCTGGCTTCATCTGGGATCAAAGGCCTCTGCTTTAAAACAAATCTTGGGCAATATCCAGTCTTGGTCCAAAGAGGTGGCTGGGAAACGGACCATTTCTTTTCTTCCTTGGTGCCGTGCTGTATTCTGCAGCAACCTTGGCTGCAGGGCTAGGGTACAGATACACTGTGGTGTCAGTGTGCTTGGCCTTCTTACTTCCATGTGTTTTCAGGTCTAGGATCTGTCAGTTTACATCTTCTAGAAGGGTATGGGGTAGTGCTACTACATCACCTTGATTCTGTGTTAGTGAAGTGTGGAGATGGTTAAAGTCAGTGCAGTTTAAAGACGTGGAGCTAGCTTGTCTCGTGCCCACCAGTTTTTACACTTCCCAAGAAAGTTGTGATTCTGCTCAGAGTAAGTGTAAATTGACCCTGTAAGAAAGAAATGGTTCCAGGGTTTGTTACCGGCTATCTGATGTTTTGCCTTTGTGGGTGTCTTAATATTGTGTTAACACCAGTGTTGGTGATTTGTTAGTAATTTACATTGGAATAGTTTAAAATCTTCCTGTGCAGTTCCAAAGCTGAATTTTCTGAAATGCTAAACTACTGTCTGATGCTTTCTGCTAAGGCACTGAGGAAACACAAGGCTTCTCTGCAGATGTGTGCATATGCTTACACGTGTAAATAAAAATGTCTTGAAAGTTCATAGGATTACAGGCTTTTCCTGATTTCTGGTTTCTTGAATGGAGTCTCACTTTTAGTGAGTTTT